TACTCGATCCACCTCGATATGAATCGAAGAAGAAGAAAGCCAATGAAACTTATCAAAAATGCAATAAAATAATTACAATAAATATAATTATAATATATTATAAATATATATAACTCATAAATCATAAATTATAATTAGTATGTTATGAAAACAAGACTGTAGATAGAAAACGCAACAAATTAAGAAAAATTATAAATGTAAAATGTATAAAAATTTTCTATTCTTTCAAGTAATTGTTTTACATAACTTATTATGTTGCGATAATGTGTAATAAATACACATCCAGAGAAACAATTTTATTAAGAAATCTTTTGGGAAATCTGGACATGGTGGTTCAAAAGCTAGATTTTGTGTCAACTGGAATAGATAATTACCAATATTTTTTTTATCACAATTTTTTTCAAAATTTTTGACAAATATTTCTTCTAATTTGTGAATGTAGTAACAAAAATCATTAGTTGGTAATTTTAAATTACCAAATAAATCTCTATTTTCATTTTCGTAAGCTCGAAAAGAACAATACAGCGTTGTATTATCTAAGACAACTTTATTGTCATTTACAAAATTTTGATACGCAGCACATAAATGTATTGCTAAACACTTTTTTTACTAAAAAATTACAAACATATTTAAATGCATTTTCCTCTGGGAGATTGAATAATAGATCCATTGAATAATGAACAGAATTTTTTAAAATTTTGTTGACGATGGAACAAGTTTTGAAATTGTGGACGTCTCTGTAATATTTGATGTTCCGATAATATTTAATAAATCATCATTATCGTTTGCACAATTTTGCGTTTTCGAATATTGAAATAATTTTGTACAGAACAATTTTTTAAAAGCTTGAACTGTATAGATATTGAATTAAGGCAATTATCACCTTGTTTCCAAACAGAGCCAAAAAAAATTTTCAACACTATCTTGATTTAGTCTGCGTGTTCGGAGATATAAAAGATTATAGTTTTTTAAAATTGTCCAAAGTTGAATTGTACTCTTAATTGTAATCTGCCAGCAATTAAAGCATTTTAATTTTACATATTTATTGTTATCGATAATTACTTTAATAGACTTTAAAAAATTCAACATGTTTTGTAAAAATTGCATTTGTTTATCACTTCCAATAAAAACTTTTCCATATTCTTTAGGATTATTTACATTGGATGAATTTAATACCATCTGATCAAATTTGACCCGGACTAGTCCATTTAAACCGCGCGCGTAAATTGAATCGGTAAAAATTTTTTTTTTCTAGATTGGTACAACCTTCTCTGACATTCGTGTGAAATTTGAGCGGGATACGTCAGTTAGTGTGTGTTTGGCAGCCATTTGTTTACGACGCAAAAAGTTTCTCTGGCGATTTTTACTGTGGAAAAAAAAATTGAACAACGAGTTTGCTTGAAATTTTGTGTTTCCAATGGAATTACGGCTACGGAATCATTGAAAATGTTGCAGAAGTGTTTTGGGAAGTCTACTCTATCGAGAACGCAAGTATTTGAGTGGCACCGAAGCCGAAAAAACCACGTCAAAGTCGGTCGAAAATCAAGACGATGCTTATCGTTTTCTTCGATTACCGTGGTGTGGTTCACCATGAATTTGTTCCAGAGGGTCAAACGGTCAATAAGGAATACTACTTGGCCGTTTTAAGGCGTCTACGTGAAGCAATTCGTCGTAAACGGCCGGATTTGTGGGCAGACAATTCATGGATTTTTCACCACGATAATGCGCCGTCACATTCCAGCCTGATTGTGACTAAATTTTTGGCCAAACACGAAATAAAAGTCATCGCTCAGCCACCGTATTCGCCAGATTTGGCTCCCTGTGACTTTTTTCTGTTTCCGAAACTCAAATATCCGCTCCGGGGAACGCGCCATGAATCGATTGAGGCCATAAAAAGAAATTCGCTGAAGGAACTAAAGGCCATCCCGGCCGAGGCCTATAAGAAGTGTATGGAAAATTGGATTAATCGTTGGCATGCTTGTATTGGCTCAGAAGGAGGCTATTTTGAAGGCGATCATAAAGATTTGTATTAAAATACATAAAATTGTTGTTTTTTTTAACCAGTCCGGGTCAAATTTGATCAGAAGGTATATCAAATAATTTGTCGAAAAGTTATTTAGTTCTATATGAGACTTTGTTAATGCAGGAGCTACTTTTATCCATTGTTTGCTGTTCCTTTTGTAAAATTCTACGATATGATCTCACGAAGCAATTTTATTATCTTATGAAAATTGTATTTTAATAAGTTTTTCAAATTGCTTTTAATAAATGTGGAGTGTCGAAGATATATACAAGTCTTTCTCAATTACAAAACTTGAATTATCTACCGAAATATTTAACATATGGGACAGTTGGATAAAATTTGAACCCATATCAGAAATGAAAGCATGCACCAAAGCACCATTGTTTTTTAATTTTATAATGATGTCAAATATAATATTTTTTTAAAATGTAGCAGGACATGCAGTTTCTATAAAGCAAAAACAAACGGGCAATTTCCAATTTCCTGCAATGCCATTCCTACGTGCTATTATAACTAATACACTTTTTGCGGGTACGGATGTTTTTCTATTATCAAAATCTTCAAAATCAATTATCTCATCCCGCGATATATCATAAAATAAATAGCTTTTCTACCTCATTTCATCTGTGCATAATACGCAATGGCGTTTCATTAACGGTAATGTATTCAATTTTACTTTAAGTGCTTCGAAAAGTTTATCATTTATGCCAGGCACAATATTCTACTTTTGAGTAAATAATTGTAGAGAACGTACCGAAGGCAATGCAATTGCCTTGTTTTCTTCAGTTCTTTATTTCTTGGACTTAAGAAATACAATGACAAAGTGAATTTTTTAAAATCACGATCATATCTCCTGCCACGTTTGTTTTTACATTGTGCATCAATTTGTGCCGCTAATATTTTATTAAAGCTTTGTGGTAATAACTTACGGCCTAATTTTTTTAAAGTTTCTTGTTTGTTGGTCTCTTTGACTTGTATGCTCTTCTTCTTTTCCTTCAAACGGAGTCGTCGGATTGTTTTGCGGAGCGTTTTGTTTTGTGCCTTTAATTTTGCGAGCTTCAAACGCAGCTTCTTTTTCCTTGGACTATCCTCTGACGATTTCATGTTCTGTTTTGTATTCTTGGATGTACTTCTGTAAGTTTAAATTAATTAAATATTGAGAAAAATTTATTATTTAAAACGAATAGAAACGAATAGTAAAAGATTATTAAATAAAATACAAGATTTTATGAAGAATTATAATATATTATGTTAATGTACGTTAGCGTGCAATATGTTGCATATTCTAGTACAAATATTTCATATAAAATTTATTTCATATAAAAACATCGGTAGTTCCTTTAATTCTTTCGGGCCCAGACACCGATTCTGTTTGAGTGAATTTTTTTTACAATATAATCTTTCCAAATATTGCTAATAAAGAATTTTGTGCTTCAAATAAAATTGTTCTTTTGAAGGTACATAATCATGTACATACATTCATATTTATTGGTATACACCCCAGCTACAGAATTACAATTAAATATTGAAATTAATAATAAATATGATAAATCAATCTTATACTTTAAGAAGGTAAAAAATAAGAAATTACGAATTTCCTTTAATGTGTAGTTTAGATTTTCAATAATATGTATACAAAATGAATAACATATTACAGAAAATCAAGTGTCAGTGAATTTGCTTTGCAAACAATCACCATAGTGACTTATTTAGTGAGAATACTTTTATTTTTTAAGTTAGAACAGCAATTCTAATTGCAACTAGTAAGTATGAATTAAAAGTATTCTACAGACAAAGTCACTACTGTGTTAATATAAATTGTATTCAGGAAAAGTTCAAAGTGAATGTATTTAATTATGTACTCGTACTACACTGAGCCTTACAGGGTTAAATAAGTAAAATTTGATGAAAATTAATATTAGTCTACACAAATATAATAATAAAAATCTACATTCGATTTAATGCAATTTATAATAAATTAAAACTTACAGTTTAACTATCTCAGCATCCACGTTATCAACAATAATTGGCAGTATTTCTGCAGATTCCTTATAGCTGAAAGTATAAAATTTTGTTATACACTAAATCCCTTATTTTTTAAAAATACAAAAATATTTATTACCTGTCCTTTTCTAGTGTTTTACTCGCAGGTTCTCCATTTATGTTTCTGCAATAAAAATAAATAATATCATAACATTTAAAAATAAAATATCATATTTATACATATATTGTATTATATATATATATATATAGGTATACAGACAAAAATACTTAAATACAAAGCATTTGAATTTATATAACATACTTATTTGTTTCTACTTGATCTTCGTCTTCATCCAGATGCTGACAATATTTTTTGTCCATGTCAATCGTATTTTCTCTGAAAAGAGATAGTTATTTCCTGATTTCATAAATTATTTGTAATTATAAATAAAAGATAAAATATTGTTTTGTTCATTAGCACTCATTAAAATGACTATATAAATATAAATTATTTTTAAATTAATTTTTAAATAAACTACATTCCCTTTTATATCTCTATTATATAAAAACAGACTTTGCGTTCACTAAAAAATAAATTAAATTATAAATAGAAACTCACTTCCCACATTTTGATACAAAAAATATTGTCGGTATGGCATCTGGATGAAGACGAACTCTCATTTTATTTATTTTGTACAATTTTTCTTCGAAATGCAAATGGCACAACCGACAATTTTGGTACGCATATTCTGGACCTTTTGGTTCTAACCCCAGCCTCCCACATGCTCGTATCCATTGTCAACCATCTACAAATTAGGTATTTTATCAATAAAAATGTACATAGAATTGATAATTGATTTATAAAAAGTTCGATAAAAACAACGTACTTTCCTTTGGAAATCGGAAAAAATAACGTTCTTCTAAATTAAATTTTTTTGTTCACGCTGGTACTGCACACCATACGTTTTTACTTTTAATCATTTTATATTGTTCTTCTTTTTTACAATTTTTTGGAGTTGACACAGCACCTGAAACAGAGAACTAAGATCAAAGTGCTGAAAGAGAGAAGCTAACCTATATAATTATATAAGTTAACTATTCTCTCAAAAAGAAAACTTTCTCGCTCGGTTTTCTTTATTTTCGTTCACTTTTCACTTCACTTTTTCACTTTACTTCACTTTTTCACAAAATTAGTCTCTTGAAGTTTCTCACACAACACTTTACCAATGGACGATGTACGTTATATTTCCCTCCAAATTTCTGTTCTCAGCTCTTTAAATGGAACATTGAAACGGTCATTTAAATAGAGAGAGAGCACTAAAGAAGGAGGAAATAAGACGAGGCAACTGATTTATTTCACGCATGCGCACTCCATTTTGGCCAACATAAAAAATCGGGAGAGTTGCGCTACTGTATATACTGTGTTTTAACCTCATAGGTGTTTACCGTAGACTAGGTGAGAGATAACAGAATCTCATGAAAAGAAATATATGAAATATCAAGTAATCTTAAAGAGACATTAATTGTAGGCGACTTCAACGCCCACAACACATTGTGAAATTGTCAGGACACCAATCATAATAGGAAGCAACTATTTAACACTAGGAACATGAAGGGGTTCGTTTGCTTGAACCAGGAGACTCTCTCAAAGCCGGGGTATATAGATCAAACATCTAATTTGGATCTGATATTCGGAACCGACAGATTAGCAGATTTGATAGAATGCCAACAATTGAGTGATTCATGTGGATTAGATCATTTTCCTACCCTAGTACGTATGTATAATAATAGATCAAAATATAAAAAGAAATCGAATAGAATGTCTACAAAGAAATCGAAGTAGAACAAGTACCAATCAAGAAGTTACTACAGGATAATAAAAGAATTCAAGATACAACCACGGAATCTTTAGAAGAAGAAGAATATGTAGAAAGATATCATAAATTTATGGAGATATTAAAGAAAGCAATACTGCTTTGGGCAAGAATAATCGGAAAGAAGAGGAACCCTGGAAGACAATACCGCCCCAGAAAAATAAGAGTTAGCATACCAGATAGTGCGATGGTGAGTGTGAAGAAGCTATTAGACTGAAGAAATTCTCTTATAGAGAATTCATCAAGGATAAGACCATGGAAAAGTTTGTTGAATATAAAAGAAGAAGGACAATCATAAGAAAAATAATTAATGGTAAGAAGAGAAAGAGTTTTGATGAGTTCTGTAAATCTATATATTAACAAGTTTATCAGCATGAGTTACGTCTGAAAAGTAATGATAACATTCAAGAATACAAAAAAAAACTGTTGAATGGACTTGTTGGGATAAAAAGGAAAGAGCAGAAATAATCTACAGAGAAATAAAAAAATTAGTAGCCACTGCCACGAGTAGCTAATGAATGAAACGCTAAAAAAGAGTGCTACGGGGAGTTAGACTCGAATATAACACTGGAGGAATTGGATAGAGCTTTATTAATGGTCAGAAAGAACGCCCCAGGATTAGACAGAATAGAATACTGAATGCTTAAGGAGCTTCAGCAGGAAGCAAAGAAGGAACTATCAAAGATGTACAATTATATTTAGATTATTACCCTGCATTATGGAGAAAATACCAATTTTATTTATCGACCGGGTAAGAAAAAGATTAGACCAATTGTTTTATGTATAGGAAAGATAATGGAGAGAATCATTAACGAAAGGCTGATTTGGTGAGCGGAGTATTCCAACAAGTTAGATAAGGATCAGAATGGATTTAGAAGGGGTAAGTCTTGCGCCGAAAACCTTACTCAAATTATAAGCGATTTCAAGTGTGACGTGACGTTTTTTCGTCCCTTTGTCGCAAATAAGTCGAGTGGATCCTGGGTCCTCCCAGCTCCTGAAAGCGGCAACAAGCGTGAGGGCGCTGACATTTATGCGCCACCTTAAATTATTTATTTTTATTTTTTTTTTTTACTTTCTTTTTGCATTATTTCTCTACGAGAATCATCGCCTAGAGCTAATCAGAGCCAGGATCGGTAACTGTATACGTTGATTGTGTCGAAGCTATCTTACCCGGTTGCCAGCAGGGAAGAGTACCGCCAAAGATGATCGTCACCGAGGAGGCTACTCCCGGACTACTCCCCGTGGGCAAGTCATATCACTCTTTCTAAATTTGCTGCCTGCATACGTTTGCGCCCTTGTAGTGCCAATCATGTTTTGCAGAAAGAAAGGAGGATACCGAAAAGATTCTAGAAGGATGTAATTTCTCAGGAGGGCAATCCAGTAAAACGTCCGCCAAAAGGACCGCAGCGCTCTAAAATTCGAGCAAAAGTCTCTTGAGAGAAAACTACCCTGGCAAAATTTGGATTCCGCGCCAAATTGCAGGAAGCTACATCGCTGTTACGAGTCCACGCGATTCGCCAAGTTGCGTCAACTGATAGTGTATCTCCCGCCTGTGCATCCCCCGCCAGCCTGCCGAAATTACTCGCATTGCGGCACAAGCCGTAGACAAATTGTAAAAGAACGCAGGATCTACTGAAAGTTACCATTTAGTGAAGCGAGCCAAGCGAGATACCGCAAAAAACCGAGAGGAGCTATCGAAGCAACGAGAAGCAGGAATCACCGGTGAGACAAGCGTAGAAATTCTGTAAAGCTATCGATCTCCGACAATGTAATTTCGAGCGAATAGCATGTGCCGAATTCAAGCCGAAAGGGAGCTACTGCGAGTAATTAATCTTTTAACTGTCGCTTGCCGTTCGCTCGAATCACATAGATTATTGTATTCAGTAAAGCTTGCCGCCTTTTCGCCACAGCGAAATCGCCGCGTCTCGTTAGTGTGATTGTATGTTAATTCACCATCACCTTGCATTGTACGCTGTCGTTTGAGTCGCATTTCGTGTAGAGTAGAGAAAAGCATTGTACGATGTCTGATGGAAGGCCGCGATTATTACTGTAAGTGTTGGACTGATAAATTTGTTTCTCGCAACTATCGCCTGTAAACGTTCCTTAAATTCTTTTGTGCTGTGTGACTCGATATATAACATATAATTATAACGAGCTCGTATTTGCGCTGAAATGAATTATTGTCCCTACGATGAATTGCGTACTTGAGTAGATTTTTATAATCGTGCTCTTTATCAATATTAAATATATATTTGTCAATTTCTTATAATACTATTAAAAAAAAGCAGTTCTTATTTGTTCTCTCGCTTTCTGATTCATTCCCACTCCGAATCATCCACTCCCGCTGTCTATGCGGGGCTGAGTTGTCGTCCGTCGCTTTAAAGAAATATTGAGAATAATTAGTTGAAATTTGGAAGAGTAACAAAGAGCGGCACGCTCACTTGTGCCTGACGCCCAACTTAAGTTAAGAGAGAATTGTCGGTAATTCAGTGAGTAGCTACCGACTTCGAGTATCAGAATAAAATCATTGGCTGTCGGATTGTAATACCCGGAAAGCAAAGAAGTTGTGCCGTCGGTCGCGACTACGGTCATACAAGATAACATATTTAGGAATCAATATACGATAGTAGCGGTTTTAGACATATCGTTGGCATACAATAATGTTATATACGGTTCTAATAAAGAAACTCGGAAAGATAGGCTACCCAAATAGAATTATGTTGTTTATAAGTGGACGCTAGAGACACGGAATTTAACGTTAGTGAGTCTAATATTATATAATACATACCAAAAAGTGATAAGAAAGGACCTATCTCAAGGTGCAGTATTGAGCCCTATTTTGTATGCTATATACACGAGCAAACTAACACTCGATTTAGAGAAGTTAACACGGTTCAATTTGCGGTATTACGGTATATACTACAAGTCATGACAAGCTAATAGAACGAGATTAGAACAAACCATTTCAATGATGACAGAGAGACTTAATCAGCTAAAGTTAACATTATCTCCATCTAAGATTATTATGGTAGAGTTTAATAGTCGGAGAATATGTGACCCCAGAATGTACTTAGATATTAGACAATACGAGGGTCGTTTGAAAAGTCCGTGCAAAGTCAGAGACATGACACTACTGGCGCGTATCAAGGTTAGATTTAGTTAGTAGCATCTCTTGGAGGAACACACACCAAGTTACAGCCAGATCGGTCTATTTGTTTGTGTTTGGCATTCATTTGAATCGAGGAAGTCGAGTGATTTTCACGATAACGCACCAGCTCACACCTCAGCAGTTGTGGTCGCAAAATTAATGGAATTAGGGCCATTTCTTCATATTGGGGAACAAATAGTAGTCCGAGGGAGCCAAGTCTGGAGAATAGGGGGGATGTGAAACGAGTTGGAACCCTAATTCCATTAATTTTGCGACCACAACTGCTGAGGTGTGAGCTGGTGCGTTATCGTGAAAATCACTCGACTTCCTCGATTCAAATGAATGCCAAACACAAACAA